TAAGAGAAACCTGGATGAAGGTGTGGGATTTGAGTATTGTGGTCAGTTGTTCCATCATCATCGACACTCTTGTTGTTCAACCTATTCGTTTGTGCATCCTCAATAGTCATGATTTTGCCGAAGAAAAAGTTTTCTTTGATAGATCACCGATAATTTGAGTACTCCATGCTGTACTAACCTGTATTTTAGTTTTCGAAATTAAGTTAACACTTTTTAATCGATTGAAAATTAAAAGTTAAATAGCTGATGTCTATTGAAAAGCGTGAGAATAATATCAGTGGTGAATTATTTTATACAATTTTTTTTATTGCACCAAAATATGTATTTATTTTTTTCTATTTCTAACAAACCAATGTATTATCTTGCATTATTTTGTGAACATATTCATTTCAACAAATTATTGAAGCTATTTTATTGAAAGAGAATAGTTCTATCGATGTTCAAAAATGTCGACAGAATTAGAAAATAAAAATCGATTATCCAACAGAAATCGATACTTTTTTGTTCTCTATATAACATTTTAAAAAATCATTCAGTCTGAAGTATCGTTCATTGTCGATGTTTAAACCATTGAGAAACTCACTTAAAACTTTTTAGCTTTAAGATGCCATTTGATATTCAATCGATTCACTTACTCTTCTAATTCTTCTTTTTTCAAATTACTTTATTCCACGATTGTTCTGAATGCAATAATTTGACTATAGTAAACCATCTATAAGTCATCGTTTGATTTTCCCAGGCAAAATAAACGTCAATTGTACTAATATAAAAAGATAACTTTATAGGCATGAACAGAAAATGTTGCATCTATAAGATCTAAAAATAGGCATATGTTTGGTTTCCTAAGATACGATGAAGTTACAGAAAAAAAAGGCTTATTCTAAACATTTTTCATTCGAATATATTGTTCTAGTCAACATGTTCATTTGTTATTATTCAGTTAGACTAAAATGATTGCTTCAAAAATGGTGATGAAAAAAAATTTTAAATTAAAACAGGATGAAAAGTTCTTTTTTCTTCATAGTCTAAAGATTTAATCTCAATTGTGAGATTGTTTTTCAAGGATTCGTAGAAAAATTACTATAAAAAAACTAAATCATAAATTCATGAAATAAATGCTATTAACTTCAGGCGTTTATCAATTATTATTATATTTATAATCAAGACTTTAAAAAAGTGTATGTCACCTGTTTCATGAAAATACTATTGTAATTATAATAGTCGGTATTAAATAATTTGTGATTAAAAAATATTAAGATAATGAAGATACACAGTATTGTATCGACGATTGAACTTGAGAAAGAATTTAGGTGAATGATATTGTATGAGTAAATGATCTTGTTATAAGTTTTGCATCAGTTAATAATTCTAACTGTGTTGATGATTTATTTTAATAATTGAATAGGTATCTAGTTAAAGAAATGAGATTATTCTATTTCTTGTTGTTATAATCTTTGAAAACTATTATAAAAAATCCAAATGAATATCAAAATTCAAAATTTTCTTTGTATCATTTTAATAAACGCTGACACAGAGATTATCATGACATTATATTGTTCTCATCATTGAATACATCGTGGCTGGTTAAGAAGATCAAATTTATTATTTGGTAGAGATGCTGCTATTAGTATCCTACGGGAACGATATTAAAAGTGGACATTCCCAAAAACCGTTTTATTTTGTTTTTATATGTAAAAGTCTTTGAAAAAAATGTCGATACTTATTTCTCATCAGTCTAATACTGAATCGATCTGAACTTTCCTTTTAGTATGTAAGAGCAAAGTCTGGAGAATGGAAAAGGTCAATACAGTTAAAATTTGTTACAGCCACTTTATCACTAAGCAACGCTCAAAATGTTTTTGCAATCTGATTTTTCGATATTTTCTGTCGCTGACTTCACGATATCATTTGTCTTAAACTTTGAGTTGAATTTATCCATTTTATTTACAATGCTGCTAACTGACGGTGTCCGATCCAGTCGAAGTGAAGGAATCACGAGCTTGGCACTTAAAATTATCCGGATTAATATCGTAAATCTCAAACAAAGAAATGATCTCAAAAATAGGATGGATAAAAACTTGTTTTATATTCAACAGATGCTCAAAATAAGGTTTCAAAGGGAAAGCGAGCAAATATCTATTACTTCATATATAGTATGAAATCGTGAGTACAAAAATGTTTCAACTGGCTCTTCAAAGCTCAGATTTTAAGAATTAAGAATGAAGATTGATTAGATGGTTAAAAATCTAGAAATGAAATACATTGACAAGGTTTAAACGAGTGTCAATATGACGATTTTACCGTTTTTATCTTAAATGAAATACTGATCTGTTTTTATTTTGAAAAAAGTTGAACACAACTCGAACTGGATGGTTAACTTCAAAATTGAAAAGTTTTCGACAATTGACTTCCACCGTTCCGGCAGGGATTTCTGTTTAATTCTGTATGTAATATTATGACTGATTTAGCTTCGAAAAGCATTATTTTACGAAATTCATCTAAAACTAGCATCGATCATGAGTTTGAAAACTGTTCTGTTGACCAAGACCATCAATAATTTTGAAAATATCGTACAAGTATACAGCACAAAATTCTCTATATCTTGTTGATTGATACTTTGAGTATTTAATAAGAAAAAAATGTAGTATTCGGTTATTTTTTTTCTAGCATCTATACTTATTAAAGACAATTTTCAATTGAATACTGACAATAGAATTGTAATATTGTAAATGTAGTTGACCAATTCTATTTCTAAATACATTTTCTCCAAAATTAATCAAACTGACGAGATCGAAAATTGAAGAACAAGCTACTGGAATTACCGATGTTATAAGAGTTGATATATATATTGAATATCACGAATGAGAAAAATATCTGGAGATGTTAAAAATTAGCTCGATGAAACTTATGGAAAACGTTAGATTATACATATCAGTGATACATCCAAATATCAGCTTTGTCACACTGTTTCTACTAGTTCAAAATACTTGAAAATCAAAGAAACAAAATTCGGATAGACTATTGTAATGTTTAAACACACTTCATAATATTAAAAAAAATCATTGCAAAATTAATTCTATAATGATGATTTTCATTTTAAGATCAGCAATATTGTATTTGTATCTTTTGCAATCATTCGAACATATGTCCGATTAAGATGCTGTTCCATAAATGTAAGCTAGAATACCACAAATTCTAGCGAGCTATGGATCACCGAGTACCAGTGTGTATCGCTTGAATTCTTCTAGTTGCATCATTCGAATAGCGCCGTAACCAGAATTTTGCTAATGGAAGAGCTCATCCCATTTTCTGCTACTTATTGCTAATAATCAAATAAATTTATAATGTCCATTGCAAAATAAAAAGTAGGTTTTCCATTTTTTTGAATAACTTTCTCTGAGTAAGAGATAAAGGCCTACTGTTTTCACTATGCGAAAGAGGTTTTTCACAGGAGTTTCTGAAAAAAAATTAAACCAACAGATAGAGCTCGTTTTTTTTATCTATCTCAGGGGAGAAAAGAGATCAATGCCAAATAAACGTGCGTCTCATTTCGGAACGAAGAATTCTGTTTTTTATCGCACAAATGTATAGAGAAGTTAAGGCTATCTATCTATTGATAATAATTGAAAAAAGTGTATCTCTTGTTTCTAATGCTTAAACTCAAATATTTGCACAGCTATGTAGATATTCGAACATGTTTTTTGACTACCTGTATAGTACATGATTTGAATAGAATAGCCGAAGAGAAAAGAAAAGACTTCATGTGAATACTGCAAGTATAATCCTTTACAAGATTAATTGTATCAAGTTTTGAGTAAGTCACATGCAGCTGGGATAAGTTTTAACGTCCCTATTCGAACAATAAACATGTCCTAATATAAAAATTGACTATTGAACTCATGTCATCGATTTTTCATCAAAACCGACGGTTCGAACGGTTTTCATTTTTTTAAAGCTTCATTGCTAAATTATTATTTTCAATCTTGAAAAAATCTGTTGCAAGTCAAAAAAATTCATATTAAGACGCCAACAATAATTTATGTCAGATGGTGCCATCCTTACTAAAAAATCAAATTCGAAAACTAAGCGAATTTAGCTGGTGTGGCTCGTACTGGCGGCTTCGGTGTGCTCTCATTTAGAGAGGAACGCAATTTTGACTAAAACCTAACAATTTTGTTAGAGTTAAAAAATATTCATGCGGTTTGATACAGAAAAAAAATTATGAAGGAGAGCCGCAGTTAACCGCCGGTTTTCGAGTGATTTAAATGATATAGATAATGTATGAAAACGTATTGTCGAAAGTGACCTAATTTCATTACTGAAGGAGTTTCTTCCATTATTTTCCTCGTTTGAATAAAATATAATAGTACTGTATGTATTAAATGCAATGAAAATGTGTCGAGTGAGAAACAATTATCAAGTCAGTCATTACCGAGTGATCATATAAGCCTTTAGAATCGACCAATATAATGAGATGATTTGAGAATTTCTAGTCAAATAAAGCTAGTATAGGCATACTATATCATCTTGTGTATGTGATATGAGATCGTGTTGTTTCTGTTTTACTGCATACTTTTCCCACATGTCGCCATCCTGTTTTTTTTTGCTTTCTATATTTTCACTTGAGAGGTAATTTATTCAAAGTAAAATGTTTCTTGTAAATGTGTCTAGCATTGATGTTTTTTGTGACGCTATGCACTTATCTAAATAGTTTTCTATGAAGAAAGAAACAGAGAAAAAAAAAGGAGACAGAGATGAAGAGAAACAATAATATATAGTCAGAGTTTGTTTTGAGTGTCAATATTCCTTGGTAACAGTTATTCGTAAGGAGAATTTTTTTTATTACAAGCAATTAAAAAGTGTATCAAGACCTAGTAATTGATAACTTCATTCTTGTTATTGACTCTGATCAATCCTATCGTAGAGGATCGAAACTCGACGAACCAATTCGTTTGATACGACGCTTTTCGATTATTTGGCCACGCACAAACTAATACATTATGCAGAGTGGTATGTGAAAGATATTGTCACATAATAAATGTTCTTTGTCCTACAGATATAATCTATTCTGGTGCTATTCTAGAAAGCATAATGGGATGGAATAAGACTTTCTGAAGTGATCACGACTAGAAAACCTACTTGTAGACTCTAATTTCTAGTAGTACTCCAAGAAACAGGAAAAAATTGGAGAAACAAAACAATACAAACAACTTTAGTTGAAGAAAAATCTAAATAAACTTCAGTGAAAAAAACTTTTCTGCATTCAGAGTTTTATAACTTGGATAAATTTCTCTTACTTTTTTTGTTTCAGAGAATATCTAGTATGTTGTATAGTCCGAGAAAGCTCTTATCAAGAATACGGAGCTGGTAGTTCTCACGGAAATTACACGTTTCTTATTATGAAAAGAACAAAATAGAGATCTACGACTTTCATTGTTCGAAAGAGACTGTCAGTATATACAGGGTGTCTCAAAAACAAAAAAAAACTTACCCCCTACGTGATTTTTAAATCATATCAAGTGTGATACCAAATGGTTAGTCGGTGATCTTCGGAGAAGCACTGATAATCGTATGAAGATGACACAAAAGTTCAATTCTAAGAATTATGCTAGCACCGTGTGCATACGATCCATACTACCATTTATATTCAAAAGTTCTAAGTGGCGAGTTAGCACAATTCTTAGAACTAAACTTCTGTGTTATCTTCACAGACTTATCAGTATTTCTCCGAAGATTACTGAATGACAATTTGATCATCAATCGACATTGTCGAATAATAGGTAGAGCTATTTATTGACACAGTTTTTTTCGAATAATGAAAGCCATAGATCTCTATTTTGCTTTTATCGAAAGTTGTTCACAATCAAAGACTGCTGGGTGTCTTTTGGATCATCATGTGATCTTCGATATGATATCCATTGTTGTTCATTTTCTAATCGATAAGTATTTGTTTGTAGAAGTAATGGTGAAAATAGTAAATGTAAATTTTAACTCGACCTTTGATGCTCGTTCAAATCTTACTGTGACTTCTGTCGTCTGGACAATTAGGGCTTAAAAAGTAATGCTACTCGAGTACCGATTTTCTAAGAGGAAAAATGAATCCGTTCGAAAGATTCGATATCTTCATTTGGAATGGACCATTTTATTTAACGCACCTTAATTAAAAATATTAAGTGACTTTACCTAACACATAACATTAGATGTTAATGAAACCACTTAATAGAATTGTTTTTAAGAAAAAAATGAATTTTGTACTAAAAAAATGAATTTTTACTAAAAATTAATTATTTTAAGTAAAAAATATTTTTTAAAGCAAAACTTATTTACTAAAGAGATTCATTTTTTTCTGAAAAGCAAGTTGTTTAAGTAAAAAACAACGATGTTTTTTTCCCAAGAATATTTGATCAAACTTTATAAAAAAAATCATTATTTTTGGAAAAACAGCATTTTGTTTCACAAACTCGGAAAATTTCCATTACTCCGTTATTACTACCTGATAACGTAACTTTCCTCCCTTAGTCTAAGCAACACCATCAGATAAAGTTATAGGACTCACCAATAGTATTTTCTTCACATTAATCACTTAATTCTAAGTGTTAAGTAATAACTTTGAACTTAATTTTAAATTAATGTAAACTTTTGCTCTACGTCGTTCTCATCACTATTAAGGCAGTAGAGTGTAAGGAGATGAGGAGAATATTATATGCAAATATGATTGAATTCAACTCCTTTTATGACAATGAAAATAAATGAGCTTGAGTAACTAATACAAAAAAAAAAACAAAACATCTTCATCATTAAAGTTTGATTTACGTATGCATCAACTCTATCGCGTACTCTTACACTAATTGCTAAGATCAACAAAAACTAACCTTGATAGAGAATAGGAATGTTCTGTTTTTAGTTAATTTTCTCACGAAAAACAGTCAACTTCTATGTATTCGCGTGTTTCTTTCAAAAAAATGATTTTTCATATTTTCCTTCTTCGTCGTGTTCTCTATTGTGTCTTTAATCTTTTTATGATATTGATGCCGAGATCATTTGCTCTCTTGATTTCAACATATTGTTCGAAAATTGAAGCACTAGCTGGATCGATTAAACTTTTTTCTCAAGCCTAGACCATTGAACTCATCAAGAGGAAATTAGTATTTCACGTACATGCCAATGTATTTCTACACGAAAATCTTGCTCTGATATATGTCATACATGAGTTGTCCATTTCATTTTTCAATTGATTCTTATATTCTCTCATGCATCAGACTAGGAAATATTATTTCATTCTTTCCAGAATGCATGATTCGATCACGTTGTCTTCGTCCACAACAAACATTCGATTCAATCGAATATCGTGTAGACGATTCGAAAATCTCATTTTTATTGTTACCATCATCATTACATTCAACAAGATGCTCTTCACCTGAACATTCTTCATGTTTAAATCCAGTTCTAATTACATTTCCAGCAAACGCAACATTAAAACAAATTTTAACGGAGAACGTATTTATGGCTTTAATTTTTGAACATTCATCATTACCAATCGAAAATAAGGATGACATTCAACAACAAAATAAAGCTCACTTTGAATTGCGAGGTAAAATTTTAGATGGAAATGTTCAATTTGCATCAATTGTTTTGAAACAAGATTTGACATTAGTTATTGATAATAATATTCAATTGAAATTTCATGAAAGTAAAGATGTTGAGTTAAATTCAGCAATCATAGATAGATTTCGTGAAAGTCTATTTCATCGTCTACCAATTGAAGATGGTTATCGACCTAAAACTAGTCCACACCTTGTCTATCCAAATGAAAGTTTAGATTTATTATTTGATACATTACACGGTCAATTGAACTATTTAACTCAATATTTACAAAGTCATATTGGTGAGAGACATGAGTTTACAACCTATGACATACAAAAACAAGCTCTCAATGAAGAAAAACAATGGAATGAATGGGAAACAGGAATTTATCGAATGCACGGTGATAATGATGGTACAGTAAATATTGCTTTAGCTTCTGATTGGTAAGAATTTTTAGCTCGCATTATGTTCTAATTTTTCTTGAAACGAATTATTTTTCTAATAGGGGAGCTGGTACACTCGAAGCAGCGCTTGTTGCTAGTGCAATGATGAATGGTTTAGATTTGACTATGCAACAACAACGGGCTACACCTGATTTGCCACATTATACTATACATTTAGGTGATATCTATTATGTTGGTTTACCAACGGAAGTTCAGCATTGTTGTCTTGGCATTAAACCTGATTGGGCCGATCGTGGTGTTCGATGGCCCATCGGACAAAATGGTAGTTTGACAATACCTGGAAATCATGAATTGTATAGTCGTGGTTTTGGTTATTGGGACTATTTTTTGCCAGCAGTTGGTTTATTCAATTCTGAAGATTTAACACAACCTATACAATCACAGAAAACTTCATATTGGGTATTAGAAAATGATCAATGGAGAATCATTGGACTTGATACTGGCTATGATTCATTTTCATTATTGGGCATTGATAATTTTGCAATTAAATTACCACCTGAATTGATGGATTGGCTTAAAACAGTCGTTGGTCTTAGTCCACAAATGACTGATAAACGTGGATTAATCTTTTTCTCACATCATCAAATTATTAGTGCTTGGAATGAAAAACCAAATACAGGTAAACATCGAATGTTTTACAATGTCTAAGACATAAATCAAATCAAATCATCAATCTATAGGACGTTCATATGATTAGTATATATTTGATTGAAATAGATTTAAACGAAGTAGAACAAAAAAATCTTTTGATTCTTGTATATATTTAGATTTTCCAGCACAAATAGCATCTTTATTACCGGAAGGGCGAACAGTTCTGTGGTTGTGGGGTCATGAACATCGTTTGAGTTTCTATGAAAAACAAACTATTACAACATTGTCTGAATTGGGCAAAACCCTTACATTCTATGGTCGATGCGTTGGCAATTCTGGTTTTCCGACAATAGCAAAGGAACTTCCAGTTGAAGCTCGTGAAACAAAATTATTATTTTACGATGATCGATTATATCATTTTCATGACAATGAATTTTTGCCTGATCTTCCAGTAGGTTTCAATGGGTATGCTACAATGAAATTCGTACGTCCGAATAAGTCAAGCGATACAAGTTTACGTATGAGTTATAAAACTTTATGCTTGAATGAAGATGGACAATTGACTCATGAAAATCCAACTGTAATTGTTAATGAAGAATGGTCGGTTGACTCGAATGGTAATGTTGTTCTCATCAGATTAGAACCTGTGAATAAAGAGCTTACAAAAGCTGTACACACAGATACTAACCAAAATGAACTCACATTAAATCAATCAAGCTGCTGTACAATGTTGTGAGACGAGAACTACATTGTACGTCCAAAACTGACTCAAATTGATAAAACAGTCATGCTTATAACACATTATTTTCTTTTCATGTCAGCACACATAATACTCCAGTTCTAAAAATTTTCGCCAATAATATGTTAGTTTGAATAAACTAACGAGGGAAGTACCCGAAGTGATTCATCGCTTTTGAGCTCATATTTTGGGCGTATAGAGGGAACCTCTAGACTAGAATAATCCTAAAAGTATTCGGGCTCATAGGCCTTCTCTACAGAGTTATAACCATTTTACTTGAATTTTAGCCTATGGCACGGTATGTACAAACAAATCAGCTGGCGGTATTTCTATTTGAAATTTTGTCCACAGATAGGTCTACTTGTAATTAGAATGTTT